ACATTTAATATCCACTGCTTCAGATTATTCTTAGGTCCATTTTTGTCGTTTCATGCTCATCTGTTACCTGTTGGCTCAGAGGCTATTTCTGGAGAGGGGTACTTTCTTGCATTGTTCATAGTTGGAATAGAGATAACAGAATAATTTATTTTTTATTTATTGAATTTATATTGCCACCTATTCGCCCATGGCGACTCAAAGCAGCTTACAGAATATAAAACCACATTTAAAACAATAAAAACTAATAAAAAGAATCAAATAAATTATTGTAGTATAATATAACAAAATCTGTACTTGCTCCAGTACAAATTGTTTTTATGATATGAAATTCACCCTGAATCCTCCCAAAAATGAGATTTTATTTTGAAAGATTACATCTTCAAAGAATAACACTGTGAGATTAATATTTATTAATAATTAAGACAATAAAAGATTAGTAAACAATTTCTTAATGGAAATAATGGCTTCTTTTAGAGCTCATGAACTCTTAAGTTTCACCTGCTGGCATTGATAAGTATCACATCTTGCTAACATTCCCTGGAGGTAATCTTTTGTATGATATGGTGAAACAAAATTAAGTTCTGTACTTAACTGGTCTGAAAATATATTTGAATTAAATTACTGAGACCATGGCAACATTGTTAGTGAAGTTATCTTTCTGCTCTTTTTACAATGTACATATGTACAGCAGATGTGCTTTGAGGAAAGTGACTTACAGTATGCTTCAATTTACGAATGAAATTATATGTATTTCTGTTGTCTTAGCTTTGTAACTCCAGGATATTTAGAATCTATAGCCAGCCATGTAATTGTAATTCCCTTCCCTCACTCATGTATACAGTCATGTATACACTCATTCAGTTTTAATGTCTGTCTTAGTTCAATGTAAATTGAAAACTTTTTATGGAGTCAGACTCATTAGAATAAACAAATTTAGCATTGCCTCTGAATAAGTTGACATTGAAATATTGTCAATAAGTAGTGTGTATGTTGTATGCTTCATTCTGAGTGAAATATCCATTTCTTCAGTCTCTCCTTACTATAAGTGGTGCCTCATTCTAGAGCATACAGGAAGTGCTCAAGTTGCTTGTCAGTCTTGCTTGCTCTTCAGGGACATGGAATGGTCCTCTGTCAGCAGGACTTACCTTAAGGACTTCTTCCTAGTGTTATTCTCATGCTTTGGCAGGGTCTGCTTGTCAGCAAAGCCATCTCCATTTGGATCTAGGGCATCTTCAGGGGCAACACTACGAATTTCATGCGATCCATCCATCTTTTCTTTGGTCTGACTGACCTTTCCTTTTCCCCAAGAGGGTGTGGCCTTAGGGATCTCTACCAACAGGGCGAACTGGCCCTGTGGGCCTCCCAGCCAGCACACAGCTCCACAGCACTTGCCTGGTTCTTCATGATGCACCCCTAGTGAGTGAAATGCTGAGATTTAATCCATCATTAGCCCATTACACCCACTGCCTTCCAACATTGTAGACCATCAATACTTCTTTGTATTAAAGATACGTTTTTTTAAATATTAATTCATTGCCATCCCCAAACAGATGCATCAACAAGGAATCCTAAAAACTGATGACTTAATCACAAGATTCTTCCGTCTTTGCACTGAAATGTGTGTTGAAATCAGTTATCGTGCTCAGGCTGAGCAGCAGCACAACCCTGCTGCAAACCCCACTATGATCCGTGCCAAGTGTTATCACAACCTGGATGCCTTTGTGCGTCTTATTGCACTGTTGGTGAAGCACTCTGGAGAGGCTACCAATACAGTAACAAAAATCAACCTGCTTAATAAGGTTAGTGGTGTCCTTATTTTCCCCAGATGATAAGCTATGGGGAGCTATGGGGGAGCTAGAAAACATTGACATTATTCCACTAACACAATATTGTGTTATAATTAGTGTATAAAAAGTGTATAAATTGGTATTGCATCCCATACCTACCTATTGAGAATCCTGTGTTTCTGACCCTCAGCCCCTGGAATACTGGCATACCTTTATGGATTGCTATTAGATAATAAATGTTTTAGTACTTAAGGAATATTTATGAATATGAGATGAATTTGTGCTCTCTGTTAAATAAGGGAGAAATAAAATAATGGATAAGTATTTAGTCATCTTTGCCAGAGATATTTACAACCAGATAAAGGGAAAATATTTCCTCAAATAGAATATTTTTAACATTTAAAAATAAAATATGTCATAAACTGTTACTTCTAAGGGATTCCTCCAACTCTACCTTTGTAGAAGGTAGAATTTCAAAGTGATTTGATCACATGCTGAGTCAATTTATTCCTTTGCATTTACAGGTTCTTGGGATAGTGGTGGGAGTCCTTTTGCAGGATCATGATGTTCGCCAGAGTGAATTTCAACAACTTCCCTACCACCGCATCTTCATCATGTTACTGTTAGAATTAAATGCTCCTGAACATGTCCTGGAAACTATCAACTTTCAGACCCTCACAGCTTTCTGGTAGGTGTAGAAGTGCCCCTGAAAACAGACAGCATGTGGCAATAAGCCAGACTTACAGGGCTGTCAGTTTATAAGTAATGGAGATGGTGGCCAGAGGTGATCCAATGTTCTTCTTGTGCTTATTGGCTTACTGTCCCTCAGTAAGAAAGGATTCATTACTCAAATCAGTCTCTAGAAACCAAATGGAAAGGTCTGTTTTCTTAGAAAAAATGTTTGGGGACAGCACTTTTTCTCAAATCTTGACTCACTTTGAGGTATCCATTTTGGTGTCCAGGACATTGGAAAAGGAAAACTTTATGTGCAGATCTTAAAGTGGCTCTCTGCAGCCCTTCTCCTCCCTAGATTTGTTCCTCAGTCTACTGTTTCTGGCCTTCAGAACTAGATTACTGAACAGCCATGACATAGAGAGCTTTATTTATAATGAAACACATTAGCAGATACAGTACGATTTGATATTGCTGAACTATCTGCTGCCTGAAAGAGTTGCGCTTAGGGAAAGAAATGTGTTTAAACAATGTCTAAACCAGATTCCTCTTCCACATTTTGGAATGCGGAGCACTTAAACATCTGAACTTGGTGGAAGGTGCTACAGTCTTACTGGGCTCCTTTTCAGGAGAAAGCATGTTTTAATTAATCGGTCTCAGTAGAATTTCTAGTGCAATGCAATTATGCATGGCTCCCATCCTCCCTCAGCCCTTTGCATTTGGCCAGTAATGCTTTCAAAGTCCCAGGTCCCGATCAGAGTGTCTCAAGAGGATCACACTGACTCCAAATTCTTTCAGCCCCTTTGCAACATCCACTGTCTGAGGCCACATGGAATTCTTGACTGTCTCATCTGTCTTTTCCCAAGCAAACACTGAGTGAAGCTCCTGATATTCTTCAAGGTCTCTGCAATCTTGGAATCTCTGTTTGCATAGTCAGTGCCTTGGGGTCTTTTGATTGTTGTTCGATAGCATCCTCAATTAGAAATAGTTTTAAATTAAAACCCATTATTTTTAAAGGCCAAAAGATAGCTAACCTTGCAAGATTCATGTGTTCTTGCCTGAGCCATCAAAATATTTTGGTCATTTCTTTAAAAGAAGTTTATGCATGTGCTTCCCTGAAGAGGTGGTAGACCTTTCAAGCTGAAGAATCCCTCCTTTGAGGAATTGTTCTGAGCCAGAGCCCTTGCTTTGTTTGGGGAAGGGGTTATTCTGGGGAATTTGGTTGCCCAGACACGAGTCTTCCTCATCCAGTGAGCATATCTCCATTAGGTGGCGGAAAGGTGGGGTTGTTACCCAGAGGGATGCTTCTCTCTTGGCCAGTGAAAGAGCAGGTGGCCTCTGGAGCCCAAGAATCACCCTTTCACCAGCCAGGAATGAGGAGCAGCTTAAAAACTTCAGTGACATCTGTGGACGCTTTGGAAAAATTCCATGGTGGATAAGGAAGCAACTAAGCTGGGAAGGGAACTGGACAACCCCCTTTGCAGCCCCATCAGATTTCTCAGTTCATTGAAATCAAGACACTTTTCCAAATCAATGGAAACTGTGTTTCAGCTCAGAAGAGAAGAGTGCTGTCCCTTTGGCCCACAGAAGAAATAGCCATGTATGAAAAGCAAGTCTGGTTGGTATATTAGAGATGGTTTTATGGACCTAGCAAGTAAATTGAAGTTGCAATACAGGTAGTCCTCAATTTACAACCACAATTGGGACCAGATTTTCCGTTGCTAAGCAAGCCGTTGTTAAGCGAATCATGCCTGATTTTACAACTTCTTTTTCCACGGTTATTGAGTGAATTAATCAGTTGTAAAGTGAATCTCATCATTAAGTGAAGCCAACTGACCCCTTTGACTTCGCTTGTTGGAAGCCATCTGGGAAGGAGGCAAATGGCAATCACATGTGCCTGGGATGCTGCAACCATTGTAAATATAGGCCAGTTGTCAAATGCCTGAATTTTTATAATTTCACTGTGGAGATGCTGCAGTGATCATAAGTGCAAGAACCAGTCATAAGTCACTTTTTTCAGTGCCTTTGTAACTTTCAACAGTCACGAAACTGTAACGTTGTAATTTGAGGACTACCTTCAAATGTACTTTTTGTTATGACATTGCCTCTTAAATAAGTAGTAATTTAATTGCTTTTCAGTCAACTTCATTTCTTAGGGAATGACTTAGTATGCTTTTAAATAAAATTGTATCTATTTTTGTAATCTTTATGTTGTGATCTGAAAATATTTAGATAATTTGGACCATAAGATCTTTGAGAGAAGGAATAACTTTTATTTTAAAAGAGACCATGAAAATTGATTTCTGAAATTTCTGGTTTTGTCTTTTCAACTAATGATATTTGCATTTATATTTCCATGGCTATAATGTGATACACAAGACAGCTTTTTTGTTTTTAGAAAAAGTTATTTATATCATAGTTTCTGTTTGTTGCTGTTATTATGTTCTCAGATTATAATGCAGTTTTTTAACTGGCTAGTAATGCACTGACCACTGTATTTTTTATTTTAGCAATACATTTCACATCCTGCGACCTACAAAAGCTCCAGGTTTTGTTTATGCTTGGTTAGAACTGATCTCTCATCGGATATTTATTGCAAGGATGCTGGCACATACACCACAGCAGAAGGTGTGGCTGTAGTTTATCTTCTCTTACTTATGAAGCTTCCGCAGAATATTAAAATATATCTTGGTTGTAGATTTGGGTTCTATGGGTAGAAATTAATCAAAGAGAGAAGCAAATTAGAACTAAGGAGAAATTTCTGACAGTTAGAACCATTAATCAGTGGAAGGACTTGCCTCCAGAAGTTATAAATGCTCCAATACTGGAAATTTTTAAGAAGAGATTGGATAACCATTTGTCTGAAAAGGTTTCCTACCTAAGCAGGGGGGTGGACTAGAAGACCTCCAAGGTCCCTTCCAACCTTGGAGGTCTTTCTATTCTATTCTATTGCTTGGCTGTATGATGTTTAATATAATGTACTTCCTATCTTTCCATAAGGCAGGGATCTCCATCCTTGGGAACTTTAAGACTTGTGAATTTCAATTCCCAGAATTCCTGCAACTCTGAGAGTTGAAGTTCACAAGTCTTAAAATTCCCAAGATTGAAGACCCTGCCATATCGAAGTGGCTAAGAAGTTATGTCTCATTTTAAGATATCAAAACTCAATTCTGCTTCATGGATACAAGTTAATCACAAATAATGTTGGTTGTGTTTTCATTCTATATGTTTGGTACATATAGAGCTCATTCATAGAAATTAACCGTTTATACAGGAACAAGGCCTTCTCAACAAAGCTGCCAGGTTAAGGCTGGATCCAGCTCATTCCCTCAGTAGCACGTTTTTATCTGTTCAATGGACCAGGAGTGTTCTTTTTCTCTGTCAGTTGTTTTGAATAATCATCATAAGAAACAAGAAAATAGTTAGGAGTCTCTTGCAGGAAATAACAAATTCTGTGATCAAGCTTTGACCTTGAAGTCCCATACCAAAAATCACTATTCAGATGGTCCTACCCTTTGTCTTATAAAAACCAAAAGTACAAGTACAGATTAGGTGAAACCTGGCTCAAAAACAGTAACTGTGAGAGGGATCTTGGAGTCCTAAGGGATGATCCAGCAGTGTATGGCGGCAGCCAAAAAAGCTAATACAATACTTGGCTATCTAAACAGAGGCATAGAATCAAAATCACGTGAAGTATTAGTACCACTTCATAAAGCCTTAGTAAGGCCACACCTGGAATACTGCATCCAGTTTTGGTCCCCACATTACAAAAAAGATGTTGCGACTTTGGAAAAAGAATAAAGAAGAGCAACTAAGATGATTAAAGTCCTGGAGACTAAAACATAAGCAGTTTTAGTTGCAGGACTTGGGTTTGGCCAGTCTAGAGAAAAGGACGAGGAATGACATGATAGCAGTCTTCCAATATTTGAGGAACTGCCACAAAGAAGAGGGGTCAATTTATTATCTGAAGTACCAGAAGGCAGGACAAGAAGCAATGGATGGAAACTAATCAGAGAAGCCACTTGAAATTAAGGAGAAACTACCTAGCAGTGAGGACAATTAAGCAGTGGAACAGCTTGCCTTCAGAACTTTTGGGTGCCTCGTCACTGGGGTTTTTAAAGAAAAGACTGGACAGCCACTTGTCTGAGATGGTATAGGGTCTCCTGCTTGAGCAGGGGGCTGGACTAGAAGACCTCCAAGGTTCCTTCCAGCTCTATTCTGGTTGATTGATTGAAGAACTCTATGCCGTAGAGATAGGTGCACGAGGGACACCTGTAAGCTTTTATTTATTAAATTTATACACTACCCATCTTGCCTAGAGGCAACTCTTAAGTGGCTAACAACCAAGTACTATAAATAAAATATTGAAATAATAAATATTAACATTAAAATTGACTTAAAATTAACGAAGATGGCAAAGGGGCCCCAAGAACCGACCACGTAGTTGAAGTTTTGTGCTAGCTGTAGCTTCCGAGTACTCTTCAACCTCATGTAGAGCAGGGGTCGCCAACCTTTTGGACCACAGGGACCACCAAACTCATAATTTTTGATCCCAGGGACCACTAACCAGTTCTGTGGGCGTGGCCTAATTTGTGGGTGTTGCTTGGTGGTCATGTGACTGGCTGGGCATGGCTTGTATGTAAATATTATAAATATTTATATAAATATTGAATTTTTTATTTAAAAAGAGCAACTTTTACCCAAAATCAGGCAAAGCAGGCAGGCAGATTGAGTTGCTCACAGAATCACAGATTCATTCAGAGATCTATCTATCTGCCATTGGCTAGCTCAGTCTGTCACATAAAATTTGCTTG